TCTTTGAGCCGTAGAATCTCTCTGACACCATTTGTACCATGGATCATCCTGTGAAGTTAATTCCATGGAGACTAGAAACAATTGAAAATGATAGGAGTTAGAAGCTGTGGCTTGTATATGAGGTGTCCGGCTATACTTGGAAATTTCACTCATTTTAAAAAAATATAACTTCGTAATAACTAAAAATGGAATTCAGCGACGAGTTATGTGCTATTTTATTGGCACAACTCATTAATTTTATGCATCGTCGAGTATAAAGAAGAGAAATAGAATCAGCAATTTACGTATGCTCTCCAAAAAACTTGTGTAATTATCGTTAACCTATATTTTTATTGTGCAAACTTCTTTTTCGTTGAAATATATCTACGCGAAAGTTTTTGTCAAATAATATAAATTTCAGGGATTAGAAAAATATTCGATATCTAATGAATAAATACGGCTTTCATTTTCAGTCTAGACACTTCTTTTTTTTCTTGTAGAAATTGTACTTTAACACGATTACACAATTTTATATACAGGGTGTTCGGCAACAGTTGGTAGAAAACTTAAGGAGTGATTCTGCAAGTGAAAATAAGACGAAAATGAGGAGTAACGAAAGTACGTTGGAGGTTTCGTTTTTTAGTTATTAATAATTAAAATTTGCGCCTGAAGTAGGCACTTTTCGTGCGCCAGCCGAGTAGCATTGACGAGGGGTAGGTCAATGTCGCACCGCGCAAAGAAAGACACGTTTACCTACTAGTAGAAACTGTCACAGGGGCTGACATAATTCTCCGAACACTTCAGAATGAAAATCCAGCGTGAATCGTGGAACGCCGCTAAACTCGCGTACTCGTAAAAATTCACAAAGGCTTGTCCAAATTCGCCCAATGGAATTTTCGAGTAGAAAGGGTGAATGCCCTTTTAGTTAAAAAATCCTCTCGCAGTTGTCACATACACGCACGCACAGCGATTGTCTCGGTTCACAAAAGTGGACAAATACTGTTACAGTCTTTAAAAAAGAACTACCGCGAAATTAACAAGTAACATTTTACGAGCACTTTTGCAAATCGCACGTGCGACGAAGTACCCGAGCATAAACTAAGCTAAATTAACTAAATTAAACTAAACAACAAGCTAAAGTAAAACTAAAAGTTAAATACAATTACAAGTTGAGGAATACTGTTTTAGAATTTTTGGAATTTTTTTTACTATTATCAAGTGTGGATTCCCTTCTCGAAGTAAATCCCACGTATTATCAGACACATTGTGTGTATAATTTTTATGAAGCTTCGTTTGACGAATCCACGACGAAAGGGCTGATCATATTACATTGAAGGAAAGCGAGATGGAACAGTAGTGTATATACACGATGTTGGAGACACGTCTGACAGATCAATGACAAGGAGAGGGAGAATTTTGGGCGTCCTATGACTCATCCAGTAACGAAGACTTAAAGCTCTATATTATTTCAGAGATCTTCGTGAAAATATTCTTACAATAATAAATCATAAATGGTTTATCAACGATCATGAGTTTGAATTGCAACCTCACTTGTATTCTTTTTTAACATAATAATTTAATTTAGTGACGATTTTGAACTAAGTAAAAATAAGAGAATACGCGATAATTATCGATAAAGAAAGTAGAAGAAGAGATTTCTTTGAAAATTGGAAATTAACGAATTTACGTACATGCATGTGTATGTGTAAAAATAATGTTAATCAGGTCGAACCTGGAATTATTTTCAACGAGAGGCACTGTAGTCAACTATACCACATTAGCAGTGGCTTTATTGAGATGTAACGAAAAATATACAGATTTTAATTTCCATTAGTTGATGATTTATTAAATGGGCGAAGTTATCGCTTGCATTTGTCACGCATGGTTTGTCATCCGTAGCTGTGGTCGAATGTTAAATGCGTGATGATCCGATTTTAACCGTGGAAAGTGCGATCATTCACGAGCCATTTCACATCAAATCGAACGAGAATTGCGATCATAGTCGGCAAATTTTTCTCGAACTCGGTACGCTTCTTAATTATCTCGATAAACTAAATTATTCGCAATTTTAATCCCTATCTCGAACAGTCTTTTAAATATTCTGTGTGAAAGTTTTGAGAATTCAAGATCTGCTTAAAGATAACAACTTTTGTTTATAATTACATTAAAGCTGCAGTCGGCTGGAGAAATCAAACGAAACTGGAGAAATTCAATTAAAAATTGATGCATTAATAATTTCTTTTAGTTTCATTTTTAATCGTCAGACGCTACGTTTTAGCACAATTAGGGGCTTTTCGTAATGCTGCGCATTATTTACGTACATTGTAGCCGATAAAGCGTGACATTTTGTTTGCAACGTAAAATGCTCATATGTGCAGGGAATATATAAATATTAAATTGATAAATGCACGTTATACAATAAATATTATAATACATTGTGTGACATTAATATGACATAATTCCGAATAATTTGTATTGCAATGAAATAAATGACGTTTCATGACAAAAAGATAATAATATATAAGCAAACTTATATAGTGTCCGAATATTTTTAAGAATAACCCTATCTCTACATTTTAAACACTTTATGCACATGAGCATACCGGTGAACAAATTAGGAATACAACACGTCACTATTGAAGATGGTTGCAATACATATTGCATTAGCTTCGAATTTCAATCGAATTAGTAATATCGAACGGAAATTTGCGACGTTAGATCGATTTGAAAGAAAATTTTCAAATTGAGAGTTCGAAATTGGCGGAAATACTTAAAAAACGTAAATGCAGAAAATCGATAGTACGAGTTGAATAATGAGGACGTACGTAACTAACGAGCCGGAACGAGTCTCAGTGGCCGTAGGTTTCGCAATAATTAAAAAGGGGTCGGTATACCCTATATCATGATTTGCCTCCGGACATTCCTCCTTTCTCGTAGCAGTTCTCTTTTTTTTGTCTTTACTATAATTGTTTAAGAAAAAGATTTTATTATAATCGTATAAAATGGCTACAATGCTGTATATTCAAGATTTGTTTCGTGCAAAGTGGGACTATTCGTGTTGATACTGCTTGAATATGTTTCAATGGCAACAGCATCGAGTCTAATTCTTTCTAATTGTCGATTTTAATATTGTGTTCGTTTGAAGATCTGTTTTAACATGCACGAAAATAAGAAGATATCAAAGAACGTATTTACACGTCAAATTCAATTATTTTCAAATCATTGTCAGGTTATAATAAATTTGGCGATGATAGATGAAACACGTAACGCTAATACAGAGATTTATGCATCTACAGAGAATATAAAATAGGAAGGTATTGGGATAAAATGTGCGGATATATAAATTTATTTAAAACAGCTATGTAAGTTTGTTAAATCGAATAATACAATATAAAATATTGGCTAAATAATAAGAAATTATTGGTAAAATTTTAGAATAAAATTGGTTATTACATTGTTTTACAATTTCAAAATCTGAAAAATTAGATTTTGTAAAAATGTCCTTTTTCAGAATTCGTTGATTTTTCAATGAATAAATATCACTTACTTGTTAATATAAGTAATTACTATGCCTGAAATTATTATTTTCGGTATTTGTTAAGTAGAGAAATGAAAATTGAAGAACTTCGTTCTACGTGTAATCCCCTGAATCGATAGCTATTTTCCCTTTATTTCTTCAAGATAGCCAGAAATTTACATCGGAGAAGTATGAATCCTGTTGTTCCGAACGACTCATTGCTAATGGTTATGAATATGGAAATCTGTGTTAATTCAACAGAATCACCCTTTAAAATTTCTCCAACAAGTTGCCAAGCACCCCTGTATATTTAAAACGGTTAGAGATCAGCAAAGGCGCCTTGAAACAAAGTGAAATGATATTAGTCACTCTACGTTCCTATATTAATTTCATATATTTTTCTGCATTAATACCTTTCGTTAATTTTTGGGTAACAATTATCCGTAAATTCTTTCGTTCTTCATAAAGAAAGCTACATATGCTCAAAGATTATTAGCCTGAAAGTTATTTCGATTTTAAGTTGCAAATTTTTAAGACCACAGTTAAACATTTTAAGCAAAATGAAAAATTCGACTTCACTATCCAGACAGATCGATCTAGAAAAGCGCGTAAATGCAATGCAGAAGTACACAGCGTTTAATACCACTTATGAGCTTTCTCTTACGACGTCTTTTCTGTTTTTAATCGTTTGGAAAATGTAGCCTGATCCATATACAGAATAATGCGAACAATGATGATTAGCTTACAAGGGAACATCGCTAAGTGATAATCATCGATATCGATGAAACTTTGGTAGTACTAAAAAAAAGGGGTAAAAATCACCCTCAACGATGAGAGTAACAGACATATTTGGTCAAAATTATCTATTATTTTTTATTTCTCAAATTTGTTGTTGAAAAGTACAAAATCTACCAATTTACACTATTCCTCTATCTCTAATACTTTCAAAATATTAGACCAAATATATTTACTATCTCCAGTTTCGAGGACGATTTTCGTCCCTTCACTGTGGACTGTGGATGTAGTTTTTGAAAACTACTATACACTAAAGTTTCGCCAAAATCGGCGAATATCACTTGTTAGTAAATTCAGTACACGACCAGCTTACTAAATAAATGTTATTTTTGTCTGTTGCAGCTACATTAAGAACATTCGTGCCTTGGCATCACGCACCATTTGAAAATACTGTCTTGCAGTGATTAGCAGTTGCAAGTGAAAATATTCGATGGAGTAATTCGCGATTGTATATTACGAAAGTGTTTGATTCGCGTCGAATGAATCTGGTGGCTATCAGAAAAGTAAAGCAATTCGTTTTTCGACAATGAAGCAAATCACTATAGTGACCTTAAACGGTTGGAAAACGAGCCGAACGGGGCTGGCAGTAAAGCAGAGATGAAATCTTGCCGAGAAACACGTTTACCGGCCCAGTCTCGCACGAGACGTGAATGTCTCGTCTGGGCTAGGAGATTAGACACGATTTTTCAAAATAAAAAGATCAATCGAAAGGAAAATGGAACACAAGCAGACAATCTTGCTTGCACCTGCGTTAAGCAACAGCAGCTGCTGGCGAAGAGACACGTCCGAAGCTGTTTGGACTGGTCCAGGAGCTGGAGAATTGTTTCGCGCCACACTAATCCTTCTACTCAGCCTTGGTATTCTTTGTGCGAATTTGCTAGTGATATGCGTCCTCAATAGCAGACGATACAGCAAATATATACACGCACAGGTTAGTAGAACGTTTTTATTCGTTCTTCATTTCATTCATTTCGCATATGTAAATACAGGATGACTCGCATAACGCGTCCACTCCCAAATAAGTCCTAAAATACGTGTTTCACATAGAAATTGCACGGTATCGAACGGAGCGTATAATGTTGAAAGCATTTTTCTCAAATAACCTATTTGTTCACGAGATATTAAGGTGATCTTGAAATTTTGGAATACAGTACATGTTTGTGTCAAAATTTAGAAAGAGCAGCGAATTTTCTCTAAGAAAGTATTAAAGCTTTGTTTGTCCCAAACCTAAAAATTCATTTGCCTAATGAATAATACCCCAACAATGTAATCTAAACGATCAACAGGTTCTCTTCAACTTGATTGCAGCCAAGGTATTTGCTGACGAGTTTGGCGAGCAATAACCTCGCCATTGGTCTCCTGGTTACACCATTCGGCTTTCTCCCTGCTGTTTACGGGTGTTGGCCTTACGGTGAAGTCGTCTGTCAAATACAGGTAATACTGTAATATATTTATACAATTTCACGCGTAGTAGAATGCACGTGTTAAAGTCTACTATCTCCTTCTCGTACTATGCATAAATATTCACACTCGTATGTGCATCTTTTGTGATCGTAAAAATGTATTTGTAAGTAAATTTTGGTATTATGAATTTAGAACGCATTAGTTAAGAAGAAATAATAAATATAATTTTTTTTTATTGATTATTCGTTTTCAAATTAAATAAAATTTAAAAAGACAATTAGGTGTTAATTATTTCGTGGAAAAGAAAATATACGTACAAGAGTAATTAGCGCTATTTTGCTTATATACGATTTACGGTGGGGATTTATTGTTAGATTGAGTGTTGCCAGAGAGTGTTTACAGACGATCGATGATTACTTGTAACTCGAAGTCAGGCAACTATCGGGTGCAAACAATTCGACGTTGCGTTGCTTTAAGAATAGGAGCATTGTTCCTAGACGATCTAGCTACAGAGTGGGGAAGAAGAAGGTGCCTTCTGGTAAAAGTACTGTGAGAAACGGCACGGGACTTACCTCAGAACCTTCATCGAGAAACAAAGTTAATAAAAAGTTTTTCCATACGACCATAAATAATTGAGATACTTAGGTGTTTCCATTTAAACGTCTCACCCTGTATACACAGGATGTTCGTCCACACCTGGGAGAAATTTTAAGGGGTGATTTTAGAAGTCGATATAAAACAAAAATCAAGAGTAAAAAATTTCAGTTTGAAGCTTCGTATTTTAGTTATTAACATTTAAAAATATCCCCGTAATCCAGCAAACCTTCTTACACCAACGAATATACGGCACATTGAGACACAGGGGGTACAATGATCCTCAAAACCAACGGCACACGGCCGACATTTTACCTCGTATAAGTCGTAAAGTTGAAGACAATGACGGCACTATTGTTTGTTTCACCACGACGCAGGTGCATGTCGAAGAATTCTTCAAATATGTATTTCATTCTGTACTGCAAACACAACGTATACTATGCACACACAACTCACTGAAAAACAATCACTATACACTACAGTATTCACATTCCCAGGTGCACACGCGAAATGAGAATGAAAAAAGAAAGAAAACTGTATAAAAATAAATTAAACCTGTACTAACCCCTTGACGTATGACTTCTTTTTCTGACTATGCATCTAAGCGTCAGTTATTTACTATTTTAACATTATATTAAATAAGAAAAGTTAATGTATCGTAGATTAATTAAATTTACCAATCTTCTGTTTTCTAAATTAGATCGAAAATTGGAATTAAAATTAATTTTTGTTACCGATATGACTGTTTTTATCAGATCTTGACCAAAATCTGTGACTCGGCAAGGGGTTAAATGTACACTAAAATATGTATAAGAAATGAAATTTATCTGATTAGACTAAAACCAAAAACTAATTAGCTTATTACTTCACACCTGTAAAGTCACGTATAATTGGAAGAAAAAGATGAAAATAAGTGCTATATCGGGTCGAGTGTCTCTTCAAAACTTTCGCTTTCGTCCTTCGATTCTGTCCTTCATTTTTACTTCAACTTCGTTCAAAATTCGGATACGTGTGTTAAAGTCGTATTTTGTGCGTTCTTCACATATGCAATGTACACGTTGTGTACCAACAAACTTAAGAAGAATGAAGAACATTTTCCTCTCCAAGTTAAGTATGTAGTCTCAAATACGACGTGCCAAAGACGACATCATGATTCGATGAATCAGTGATGTCGGTGTATCCATAAAGTAACGACCACGAAGAAAGGAGTGCTAGGTGAGAGACGTTAGAGGGTACTATACATTTAAGATGGTTGCCATGGTGACTGTTGGAGTACAGCCAGGAAAAAGCTCTGATAATCTGGAGGGTCTAGGATCGGCCTGGCCTCATTTCGAGCTATCCTCGAGACACTCCCGAGAGACCTTAACCGAATATTTTCACCACAAACGAATTTACTCAATCGTTCCTCGGGACAATTCACGGCCTTTGATTCTTTACACTTACTTTTACGAAAAATCAAGCTAATCCTCATTTACCAACGACAGAATAAGTACGTTTTCTGTTTTCAAGAAAAAACCCTTTCCCCGAAAACAAGAATACTACGCTCACATAAAAGAACTGAATTTAACCAGAAACCTGCAAAATAAAAATTTGTTTATCTATTTTCGGGTGGTAAAGATAATATTCTGCGTTTTAAAAAATTACTCAAAAATTTCAAACTCTTCTGAGTAAAATGAAGATAAAATCGTGTTCCTACGATTAATAGCGTTGGAGATAAGGATTCATTTAGGATATCTCGACAAGTCAAAATTGAAATTTTCATTAACAGTAAGAAATTCACCTGTGAGGAAAAAATCCGTGCTTTATGTTTCAGTGTGTAATCTACATACACAAATTTACGGGAAAATCGATAAATATTTTACAAGAGAAATGCAAAAAGGCATAATAATTTTTAATATTTTTTGAAAATACAAAATTCGTCAATTTACACCATTGTCTCTAATAATTCTCGAGGTATTAAACGAAATATATTTACTGTCCCCAAATTCGAGGGTGCTTTTCACCCCTTCAACGTGGACTATTGTTAATAAAACAGAAAATACTCGTCGAATATTTTTTTGAATCCTACCATATACCAAAGTTTCAACAAAATTGGCAATTGTCACTTCGGGATGCTCCCTCGCAAGTGTTGAAATTCTACGTTACATAATTTCGAACTTCTCAGTTACAAAATTATGAAACACGTAAGATGGCATACAAATGACTCCGTAATCAGTAGGAAAGACTAATTTCGAAGTAGGAAGGGAGGAAGTAGAAAGAACGTGATAACAAGGTTATCATCGAGAACTTCGATGCGGTGTAAGTACCGGCGGGTGGAAGAAATACCGGAAAAGGTACCGACTGCAGGAAGCACAGCTGCAAATTCCTGGTAGTGATAATTTCCTTAGTGTATGAACAGGTTGCTGACATTTCCCACCAATTTTTCTTTAATTTCCGGCAGGAAATTCCTGAATATGTAGAAGTTGCTGTACTACAATTTAATGCCACAGGAGAGAAAACAGGCAATAATTGAAACACCACATGCTACCTATTAAATATCCATTATCAATATCATTGAAATATTTCCTAACAATTTTGCATACTATTACGAAAAATTTATTTTTGACGAATATGAAAATACATACTCGCATTGTAATTTAATAAAAGCTATTTCTATAAATGCTACTACAAATTTTTATTTTATTTCAATTTTAGTGTTATGATTTTTAATATTTTTCGACATTGACAATTTTTAAAAATTCATAGTAGAGGTATATTAATTCTGAATTAATTGTTTCAGTATATTATTTCTGTTAAGTACATTTATTTGGGTTATTGTTTTACAGAGAAATTTGAAGTGTAATATGT